ACCCATTCCACAATAGTCAAATCTAGCAGTGACCATCTGGCGCAGATGGCCAGAAGATAAGCAACCACTCCACGGCTTAACCTTCAGTCCTATCAGATAAAATGCCAAGACTTGCAAAACATCGTATCGTTATACAGAGTCCAGCAGCTCACAGTAGAGCAGGTGAGCGTTAAGATTAAGTCTCAGGGAAAACAAGGGCGAGGGATGAAACTTAGTGGTAAATATCATCATAATATTTTGAAGGCACTGAGTAGAAGGTGACGTCTTCAAGAAGAGCAGAAATATTCACATATATCAAGTGTCAAAAGCAGTTCCTTGGGAGGGGGTATTTTCACATCGTTCACTGTGTTGTATTGACCACTGAAATAGCACATTTTACGTAAGGACACCTTTGAATTACTTCAGTCATGACTTCATCAACATACTAGTGGGGTAAATGACTTACAAAATCTCGCGTATTTGCTTTCAGATAGAGTCAGCAGTTAGTCAACCTTTTGAAGAAGACTCAGTCTTCCTAAATCTCCTTCGTAACGCTTTCTTTCATACTCACCGAGACGGTTCTCAATAGACCACGTCATTTGCCAAACCTTTCAGTAATCCATTCATACTTATAAAGTACATTAAGCGGGATATTAACTCACGGAGATCTCCTGGGTCCATTTTCAATTTTTCCAGCTGCATCGTGACTGAAGCAAAGTATACTTATATAAGTGCCACTGGAAACCATACTGTCCTTAATTTTCACATGCAAGCTGAAACACTTTACTGAAATCGATACGATAAAATCTACGAAATGAGTTTGCTCTTGTTGAGTGAAGACGGCAAAAGATTTCAAACGCCCCTATGCTACCGGAAAGCACTTGTAGCAGACCTAAACTGACTCATATTTTCGTGGTTATACGTAGTACCACGTGTTGAATATTGAGCTGCGCGCTTGACTTGAATTGTATTCTCGTGGTTGGTTAAACGTTTCGGTTTTTCTTCATTAAGGTAATTATTTTGTCGTGATTATGCACTTCGTAAGATTTCCGAGAACGGCCTATACAGTTTAAAAACATATGAGGTTTTATTGATCTAAATAAACCAGCGGTGGTAACTATTTTTTTCCTTTGTGCTCCTTTGGCTTTCTACGTCTTTCGAGTTTATGTGGAACTAAGAGAGATTGCGATTGTGACATATTTGTAATATTTATTGATCCAAGCATTCAGTTTTGCTTGCATCACACAGAAATGTCGTATAGTATCAGCTGGCACTAGTCGGTTGCTCCACGTTTTTGGCGTTAGTAACCACAGGTAGGAGTGGGTTAATTAAATATTTCACGTCCCATTCCGACTGTGTTTTGTGGAATGTGCATTCTCCGACTTCAGTGAATCGACTGCTCGCCGAACACAACACTACATCTGTCTTAATATTGCTCGCTGATGTCTGTTAGTTGTCGTAGCAGGTATTAACTGATTTTCTTGTCAGAAGAGATTTGTAGTTATTAGAGTCAGGGAAACGTCATCAGACACAAATTGCAGGTCTCACACCACGCTGAAGGCGTTCATTTCCTTGACTTTCCGAATCATCCGGATGAATTATAAGTCAGTAGGATGAAAAATTGTCATCATGCTGCACATTATATTTTAGAAGTGATTTTTCAAAAAACTTCTGGTTGATTTTGAAGAGCATCAATTATGTGTATCTCACCAAACTTTGTGGCAAATACTAGGCCATTGATGCAGTGATTATGCAGTCTGATACCGTCATTTATTTTGTATACACAACTAGTTTATTAACTCCAACCTAAAACCATTGGAACATCCTAGACTTAGAATCTTCTTAGGAATTTACAAGACACTGCTCACGGTAAACTACGAGTTAGATGAAATAAAAATTTACCTAGTGGTATATACGTCCTTTGCCGAGTGCTCAGAAGTGCTAATCGGTGCTAATTGTAAGCATCAGTACGGTTCTCAGCGGTTTGCTCTCCACTACTTTTTGGGTTTAGAAGTGTTTAAATTTTTGGTCAGATCATAGAAATGGTTTCTATTTTTTGTTTAGGGAGTGATGTGTATTGATAGATAATGTTCTCCTACATTTAGAATTTGTCAAGGAATAGAGCTTCTGATATGAAAAGCATGCAGTTGTTTACACAACTATGTTGTGTTCTGTGCTAGCACTTAATGTTTTGTATTCTCACTAATAAGCCACATCCCTACCCTCTTTGTCTTCATCACAATTTGAAGTAATTGAAAATCACTGCAGATAGCTAAATTGTGGCAGCTAAACGCTGCCTGGCACGTGAAGAATATTTTAAGCAGTTAGACTTTAGGCTGTTGAAATTTCACATGAGAAATTCAGTTGCTTTCATGTTTGCCTAGTAGTTCACAAGTTCCCACCGTGAAGTTCTGAGGTCCTGTAGCGTGCATTTAGGCAAAGCGCAGATAACATTTCAATAAACGATGTCCTCTTGAAGCACTGGCTTCGGTGCCTTGGACGTGTGTTATGAATGTCATCGCAGCTTTCCCTTTATGGTTCTCTGCTGACTGACTCTGAGACTAAATAGAAAAAACTGAAAGCAGGTCACCGCATGAGGCAGTACCTTGGGATGAAGGTTATTTTTGTTGAGTTAGCACGTGTTATTGCATCACAACCCCCCGCCTAGTAAGTAGTGGTGTCCAAGAGGTTGTGTGATGCTCTGGAGCGAGAGGATATGACATATGGCTCGAAATTGAAATCAGTAGCACGTGTTCTGCACCTTACTTTATTTTTATGGTAGCAATACGAATTTTTTTTTGAATGTCGTCGATAGGTGCACTTATCTTCCCTTACACTGTTCCGTAATTATTGTATTTCTCAGTTTTTCTGTAACTTTTTGGTGTGGCACATTTCTTGGTCCCCAATTTGTACCACATCAATGTTATTGATAAAATTGAGATAGTTGCTCACCTGGCCTTAAAAAACGGGGGGAGGGGTAAGCGTAGTGGTCGTTAATTTGTTGTGTCATTAATGAGGTGTGATGTTGCGATGATGCCATACATTTTGTTCACCGCTTTTGATGTAATGATTCCATTTTTTAAATTTTATCTAGACCATTTTCTATGGTGTCTATATAATATAAGGCGTCAGCAACTCAAGGTTAAACGTAAATTCTGGATTAGCTTTCAAACCTATCCACATCTGTGTATATATATATATGAATGGATATCAGTATTACAGAGCTGTGTAACGTTTTTGGCCAGCAAGATGGGAAAGAAAATTGTCAAAAACAAGTGCTAAAGTTGATTCAGTTCTTAGCTTCAGAAGAAGGCTGGCCATTGTGTACATCTGTTCTACTGAATTCTAACTCTAATCTGTCAAATGTAAATTCACTCCCCGAGGAACAAAAGTCAGCCGTCTTCTTTTTGTGCTGTAGAGCTATCGAAGAGAGTTTAAAGTCGAATCTACCAGTTCAACCGAATGAAGCACCAAAATTTGCTACTTTTGCTTGTCAGTGGTTAAGATGTCTTATTAATCCTGCTGATGGAATCAGAAAACCAAAATATTTTGAAGCGAAAGCCGGTCAGTTAATTAGTTTAGCTATTGTTCGATATTTCCCAAATCATTGGTCCTCTTTATTTGATGACCTGTTATCAATTCTACTGGAAGCGACAGGTTAGTGTTTCAGGTCAATTCTTCGGTTTCTTTTCAAATTTACGCGTATTTGTTCTTGCTGTTTGTTGTAAAACGTTTTGTGAAAAAGGTGTTGAAAACTCATGCTCACCTTGGCTGTCTTTCGGTCATAAGTGTATGCGTTCTACCTGACATGTTAGGTGATATAACAGTTTGAGTAAAATTTAGGTTCGGCGTCTAGTGTTATGTAAGGAGGAAAAGCCAACCGATGAGGTTGTGCAGCTACATTGGTAGAGATGGCTAGGGCACATATTACGTATGCCCAGCCATCACCTTCGACGGGCAATTGTAGCCGACGTAGGATTAGGTCAAACGAAAACATGGTATCATTCCCTGAAGTCTTTGACAGTAGAGCTGTAGAGCTGTTGTAAAGGCTGGACTAGTTTCTTTTGAACACATAGCTCCGGCTTTTCGATGCATATGGCGAGAGCTACCGCAGTACAAAGAAGTCGCAAACACACTGCCTTTGGTAGATTTTTGTTTACTTTGTAAATGACTCTGAATGATGAGTCAGTTGGGATTCTGTGACAGGTATTGACGAGGTGTTCAGTTATTGCACGTCTGATTGAACCAGTGCCTCCTCTTCGTGTCCATGCTGGATGATGTTCTCTAACACGTTTTGATAAGACCCGTATAGAACGACCTATGTACCTAGCTGCACAAGAGCAGGTGAATTGATATATGCACATTGAAGTGATTATATGCGAAAGTCTGTCCTTTCCGTTGCTCCGAAGTAGTGGGCGGCTAGAGAATGTCGCTCTTAGAGTTGCTTCCGGAAAAAGCCTTCTTTAGGGAATTGGAGATTCTCCTTTTAAGGATATCTGCTGGAAGAAACTGATTACTTTCAATATTATTGATATTTTAAGGAGTTGACAAGATTACCGATAAATTTTTCGTCATTACTTTATTCACCAAATTAAAGAACTCGACCCATGACATGAATTACTGCATATTGACCTATCAAAGTATCCAATGTAGTCCTACAGCAGGTCGATTGTCAGCCAGAATACTTCAGTGGTGACATCGTCTCTGACTACAGATAGCACACTAGGTGACCTAGGTTCAAATCTCATAAGGGACATGAGATTGCAGATACGCTTTGCTGACTTTTGCCTGGCAACATGCACAGAACCTAGGTAGGTAGGTATTCAGGGCTTCCTACTGATTGCCTTCAACTATCATTGAACAACAAAGTGTGATTTTTCTAACAGACATGGTTTTTGTTATTAAATTTGCGGACGAGTATTTTGTTTGTTTTGTTCCGTCTTTTGAATGTCCAATAAAGTTTACTTCCATCAAAACATGTTATTTAAAAAAACAAAAAACAAACAATTTTCTCTTTTTAGGTAAACAAGCCAGTGAAACAAACAATTCTGATGTAGTCGCCGTTGATCTATTCCTTGATATATTGATCGACTTAGACAGTTGTATCATTTCAAGAAATGTTCAACTGACTACTGACGAGTTGAAACGTAGTAATGAATTGAAGGATGCAATGAGAGAATCGTGTGTCGGTTCACTTATTCATACATGTTATCAGTTAATAGTAAGTGTGCATATAGATTGTGTGTGTGTGTGTATTGCAAAAAAGTGTTTTTATTTTATTTTTTCTGGGGGGGTTTTCGTTCAACCTGACTTGAGTTGTGCAAAGTTATTTTATTAGCTAAACGCTAAAGACTGACAGCTTGTGTTGTTCATACTGGATTAAGTATGCAGTTACACTCTACAACAGTGTCCCCGGTTGTCACAGTCACTCTATTGTTGTCCTTTATTATCCACTGGGATTACTCTATGAAGATATTCCGTGGTAGCCTATAAATGTGAGTGCATTCTCGCTTTCATTATTGTCCTCCTTAGTGAAAAGATTGTCATCTGCAGGTAACAGAGTCCAAGGTGAACACCCACTACAGTTTCCTTTCGAAGCTAAAGATATTTAGATCAGAATGTGGGATTCATCTTCTCGATTATATAAATGGTAGTCAATAAAGCAAGCAAAACACTGCGGTGGTGGTCTGTTGTACCAATTGCTGATTGATTGAGATGAGTAGTTGAATAGCACTGACATAGCTATCTATCTAGCTAGCTAGCCAGCCAGATCGTAGTGTTGTAGATGCCGGACAGACGTTTTGGTTGTTTGGGATTGATGAGCTCATCAATGCACTGGTGTGTCTCTCCTTTCAGTTATCTCATGCCAGTGCTAGTTAGGCTACCAGCTACTACCGAGAGTGGGGGGGGGCGAGAGTAAATTTCGGTCTTCCTGTCTAAATGCCACGCATTCTCTAGCCTCTGCCATAGGGGTATTCCTCACAAAAGTGAAAGAGTGCATTCTAGTGTCTGGTGCTTACGACCGGGCTGGTGGACATGTGGGTGGGTGCTGGAAAGCCTTGATTTCAAATTTATGGTGTACATGGTCTCTAGAATCCTGAAAGGATTGAATGGCATATGAACGTGTTCTGGTCAACGTGAACTATGGGGACGTAGCTCTTGACGCTGTGCATGCTCCGCTACCTTGTGGATGAAACTTCAAGTAAGAGACTCGGGGGTGGGGTGGGGTGGCCTATCTGCTTCGGTCTGGGCGTCCGGGTATATTATCGCAGAGCCCTCGCACAAACCATAAGATTTTGTTTGGCACACACCTCTGGGCGACCATTACGTACCAATTTAGTGTCTTAATAATGGTACACGGCATCAAATTCGTCACTTGAATGAGAGTTTTCCTGTCCTAGTGTTGAAGATTCATTCCAGTTGTTTCCTTCTGGTGAGTGAGGTTATGTATATCACTCGGATGTCTCAGTGTGTGTGTGTGACTGTTTGTTTTGGAGGAAAGGCGGCTTTTAGTGGAATAACGAGGTGGAATTCATAGTTATTAGATGGTTAGAGGCAATCGGCAGGAGGCCTTGAACCCCAGGTTTCGTGCTTGTTGGCACCGAATAAAGGACTAGGTGCATGACACTAACTAACTAACTAACCAACTAATTAGTGTCCAACTAAAATAACCAAAGTTACCAGATGAATTGGCAATGTTGTCAGTGATTGAGGATCTTTGATTGGACACTAGTGTAATGCGTCTAGTCCCTTTCTTTGGCGCAGACTGAATTCGATCAGTCAAGTTTGTATGTAATGTAGCCATTGTGGGTTGGCACGGGTTCAAATCTCAAAAGGGACAGGAGTTCCTTCAAGGTCGCAGATACGCCTTTCTGACTGACTACTGGTGAGTGCCAACAACCACGAAACCAAGGTCTCATCATCATCAGGGCTTCCTGTCGATTGCCTCCAAGAATTCACAGTGCAACGTGGTGGCTCGTCACCACCACGTTGAGGCAGGAAGAAATGGAGATGGATTGGCCATACTTTGAGGAAACAAACCATCAAGTGACATCACTAGACAATCCATTGCTCCAGTGGAACCCGAAAGGGAAGTGGCGAGTTGGTCGTCAGTGCCAGGGTGACTTGGAGGAGGTCATGTGAAGAGGAGATGAAAACGTGTGGGCAGACTTGGATCCAGGTGAAGACTCCAGCAGAGAACCGAACGCAATGGAGATGCACGGCTGAAGCCTTATGTTCCTCTAGGAATTAAAGGAAACAATAATTATAATATAATAATTTTGAAGGTATACACACCACTTCATCCTAGTTTGTGACTTCAGTAGTACGCACCCACTGCAAGCTTTGGAACCTAGGACCACCCTTTGGTTACAAGGCAAGCTCATAAAAAACTGTTAGGCCACTAAAACTTGATCCAACGAAATCCTGTAGCCAATCAAACCCCTGAGCGAATCGTCAATGCTTGAATGCTATTTGAGTGTGTGTTTATTTCTGCATCTTCTCCTGCTCACAATTTGATTAAATTTATATTCTCTTGATATGATTTATTTTACAGCAACGTTTTATCAATTCATACCAGTCGAATGCTTGCTTAATTCGAAAAATTCTTCACACAATCGGTTTATACGCCTCTTGGGTGGATTTATCACTGTTAGCCAATGCAGAATGGATTACATTGATGCATCGATTACTACAATTATCACTTGATAACAATCATCATCACAATAATAATCATAGCAATAATAATGATAGTAATAATAATAATTCATCAAATGCAATTATTCGTTGCGGTGTATACTCCTGTCTGATAGGTTTTGTGAATAAAGGTATGCCAGTAATTGATAAACTAAGATTACTTACTGGTATTTGGGAACAATTGGGTTCAGTGTTAATTATTGGCGGGGATCCAAGTATTATTATGATGTCTTCTACGGCGGCTTCAATGAATCATAATAATAATACAGAAAGGCATGACAATGAAGATTTGAATGATGATCAGTTGGAAGCGTTAACTACACTTGCCAATCTAATTGATGCAATGGGGATACAATTAATATCTGTGTACAGGTACTTTGATTGAAACGTTTAACTTTCTTTTGTTATTATTATTATTATGATTATTTGTTATTGCTCATTCGTCACATTGTTATTGGTCTTCTTTTATGGCATACCTTGATTGTGTACGCAGTTTTGTGTGTGTAACCCTTGTTTTCAGCTGATCCAGCTACTCGCTACACAAACTCTTAAGGATTGAATGAAGAAAATATGTCTGCTTTTCAATCTTTTTTACGTTCTGAGTGAATGTACTGCTCAGCAGTCCGCTCCGTCCTCCTTTATGGCTAGCTGTGAGACCTGGCCATTGAGAGCGGAAGACATGAAAAGATTAGCTGTCTTTGATCATAGATGTCTGCGTTCTATCTCCCGTGTGAAGTGTTATTATAATAAGGTGAGCAATATTGAGGTTAGGCATCGGTCGAGTGAGTGCTAGGTAAGGAGGGGAAATCAATCGACGAGGCTGTGAAATTCCATCGACTGAGATGGTTAGGACATGTGTTAAGCATGCATGCCTAGTCATCGCCTTCCTCGACTGACGGGCAGTGTTAGCTGATATAGGGTTAGGCTGGAAAAGAGCTAGTAGCGGTCAAACGAAAACATGGCACCAGTCAATGAAATCCACAACAGTTAGTCTAAGCCGGCCAGTCACGTAGGAAGGTGTAGACTTCCTGACTGGTTGGGGTCCTCGGGACGGGAAACACCAATGGTTGGAAACAATCGGTGACATGGTTCAAACTCATCGTTCTCAGTGATGGCTGTCGCAGATGCATCCATTCCTTGTGACTTATGATTTCAAATGAAACTGTTTTGTTCTTCGTTATTACTATTCTTTTTGTCTCACACCTCTGTTTACTGTCTATATTAATATGCATTTCTCCTACTTTCTTCTCTTGCTTTGTGTGCTACAAAGAGAGAGTGTGGCGACTTGAACTGCTGCACATTGGTGCAAAGTTCTATGTCGAAAACAGACAGACAGACAGTGCCACTATGAGGGGCTGTCATCGTTGAGTGGTGTGCTTGTCATCACAACCAAATTAGTTGTTATTCCATTGGTTACCAGTTTGTAACTAGAATTTTAAGAATTCCATCCCGTAGTCACGATTACCAGCAACACTTAAAAATTATTCTCACTATTTGCTGACTATTGGATGCACCTGTATAACAGAAAAAAATCAAAATGTCAAGGAAAATAAATAGTGAACACATAAACCTATATACTACTGATAAATTTATATGAGTAGTTGTATGCCACTCACATCAACCGATAATGCTTGGCTAGATTGGCAGGGTTGAAGTGATCTAAACACCGGATGGCTGTTTCGCATGTTTGGAGCCGAGCTCATCAACGGTGTGCTCGCTTCGATCTAACTGTGAAAGAGCCGAATCACTTCGGACTGCCTGTTTGGCAAATTGCGAATTTGATTTAAAAAAGTGAATACATGTATCACAGCTGTAATCGACTTTGAGTTAGAGAGGGAAAATGCAATGCTACTGAATAATCACTTTTGTTGTCGTACAGACTTACTGTGTGATGTGAACGTGGCAACTCGAACTGCTGAACCAATGTGATGTCTACTGTCCAAACCCTACCACCAAGTGAAGGGTTTACGGAATTCCCCCCCTCCCAACTATCTGGTTTACTTCTTATTGCTATTATTGTTCCTTTGGGTTCCTTTGGGCTTTGTCCTATTCTCCGTGGTCCGCTTTATCTGACCTCACGATTGCTTATAGTCTCTGATCCCCTCCATATCCGATCCATCTCCACTTTCTCCGGCATATTGAGTGATAGGTTCCTGGTTGGTTCGTCCCCATAGTTTCTTGTTGGTAACTCTTTCTGCCTACTTCCTTTTTAAATACGGGGCGAAGACAGCTCTGTTGGTAAAAGTCTGGAGCCACCTGTTGGAAGTGCTTTTCTTGACGCATAGAACAAGTTTCAGTTACATAGACGCATAGAACAAGTTACAGTAAATATTACTGTATAACACTGTGAGACTCTATCAAAATAAAAATTTACCCATAATGGAATTACACTCTACCACAGTGCCCAAGTTTTATTCTTATATCAGTTTCTGACCTATATGGAAGAAGGAGTGTTGAGAATCCGCATCTTGTTCTTTAGGGTGAATGCAGAAGATTTTCGAACTGATTTAAGATTGATGAAGGTGTGTATCGTGCCTTTCTGATTCTGGCTGGCTTTGACATCTTCAGGCGTTTCACCGGCTGTGGTGTTGAAACTATGCTTCCAAGATAAGGGGAGGAAGCAACCTCTGTGAAATCTCTCCGCTGACAGTGATTGGTGCTGCTTGTTGCTGCTGCTGATGCTGCTGTTGGTTGGTTATCTTCATCACCTCCGTCTTCTCTATGTTCACCTGGAGTCCTGCCTTCACTGCCGGCGTCTTCTGCCATTTTGTTAGTTTTCGCCTGCAAGTCTTCAGATTTTTGTGATATTAGACGTAAATCATGTGCAACATCCAAATCTGGTTCACCACTGGTTGTACGTTAGTACTCTAAATAAATAAGTTTTTTGCAGTACTTAGGGTTTAAAACTAAACAGTGGTAAAAGTGCTGACGCTTTTTTGTTTTGAGCAGTTATAAAGAGGATACATGTCTATGTCAAATGTTCGTAAATGATTCCAAGTGTTATTCGCCTACTTGGTGGATGGTGGTGGCTAGCAGTGGAATAATCCAGGATAACGCGCATTTCGTCCTATTTGGGACTGGTCAACTGGATGTGCCTGCATTTCTCAGTGAGTCATAATGTTCCCACCGAGGCTCGAACCCAGTGGCCATGTAGTGTCAAATGCCAAAGCGTTATCCACTAGACTACTTGGGTAACGAGAGCCACTGTCTGTTGTGCAACGGGTCATATTGTGACTATTTAATTGAATTTTAGATTTCCCCGTTGATTACATGCCCAGACATTGTCGAAGCATCTGCACAAGAAGCCGACGTGTCAACCCGAGACCGCGCACTTCGGTTCAATCAATCGACGGGAAAAGCTAAAATTCAATTAAGTTATTCGCCTACTTTAATTCTTCTTTATTTTTTCTCTTCTTTTTATTGTATTCTAATAGAAATTTATATGATGCAAGTGTTCTATCAGTCACAAATTGTAATCAAACCACCAATAGTCAATTTCAATCCAATTCTGATACAACTGCATTCTTACCGATAGCATTAGAAACTTTAGAAGATCGATTAAATATCGCTCTACGTCTATTTGAGCATAAAGAAAGTCAAGTTAGTCAAGCTGTGCTGACATTTGTTCGCGCGTATTTAAGCCTGTTAAAAAGTGTTGTCAATCCCTCCTCAGAGAACAGCATGATCTCACCAAGTGGACGTCGCCAGCGTAATCGTAATAGTTCTGCTTCAATGGAACCAACAACAACAACAACAACACTGTCAAGTTCTACTGGCATTATTAACACTCCAATTTCTGGTCATTTAGAGATCAATGAATTAAGATCATTTTTTGTCAAACGTCTGTTATACGCTTGTGTGGATAAAATGAAGTGTCTACCGATTTGTGCAGATCAAGAAGACGATGAAGTAAGACCTTGTTTTGTGTGTGTGTTGATCATTGTGATATATATATATATATCACAATATATATATATATATATATATATATATATATATATATACGTTGAGTGTGATGATAAACGGCACATGTCGCTGACCTGATGATAATGTGAACGCTTAATAAGTTGCCTAGTTGTTTATTCTCACTTACCCGAAACACATTAGGCTAGGGAATATTATTTATTATTGTTATTGTACCCTTGGGTTCCTAGTGGAACATAGGACTTCAACTGTGCACGTCTCCACTTGCTTCTGTCTTCTACTGTACTTTTCACCTGCATCCATTTTAGTCCATGCTGTTTCAGCTCCTCTTCACACGATCTCCTCCATATCACCCCAAGAAGTCCCACTCGCCGCTTCCCTTTCGGGTTCCACTCCAGCAATGGCCTGACGCGCGATGTCACCCAGCGGCCTCCTCAGCGAGTGTCCAATCCATCTCCACTTTCTCCTGCATATCTGTTGGGTGATTGGTTCTTGTTTTGTTTGTTTCCATAGTTTCTTGTTGGTGAATCTTTCCGGCGGCCATCTGATCTTCAGTAGAGAACGAAGACAGCTGTTAATAAAGGTCTGCAACAGGCTGTTGGAAATATTCTTTGTGACCCGCCAAGTTTCTGATCCGTACGTATAGAAGAACTGACTGACTTGATGTTTGTATTGAAAATCGGAATTTTGTTGTTGATGCAGGCAGAGTGACGAAGATTTCCAGGTTGGTTTCAGGTTGATGAATGTGTTTCTCGCCTTCCAAGTTTGGTCACGAATTGATATCAGTTGGGGCACCATTGAAAACCAGCAGAGAAAGTACTGGACAGCTGCTTTCTCCTAGTTCGTGACTCATCGGCAGTACGCACCCACTGGGGAGGGGGTTGAAACCAAGACCTCCTCCCGATTACTAGACAAGCTCGCAGATCATTCAGCAACCACTGGGACCCGATTCAGTGGTCAGATGAATTCAGGCTGAAGTTACGAATTAGTAGGGAGTTGGAATTCACAGGCCATTGAGTCCAGTTCCCAGTGGCTGAGAATGGTCTACCAGCTTGTCTTGTAACCGGAATGTTTCGCGTTCGAAACCCAGTGCGTGCGTACTGCCGCCGATGAGTAGTCCGAAACTAGGACGAAACAGTCGTCCAGTACCCGCCCACACTTTTTCAATGGTTCCCCACCTGATGATATCAAGCCGTAATCAAATCGGGAACAAATCAAACCTCTGAAAACAAATTCCTTGAGAATATATCTGATATATGTTGATATATGTTGATTGCAGGAAATCAAATACATTCTTGTTTTTCAGGTGTTTTAATTTATCACCAATCAGGTTGACTTATGACATTTGTACGCTGTTTTTATTTTTCACTTTATTTGATGCTTCTGCCAATTTGGAGAATTGCTTAACACTAAGAAGCAGAAGAAGCATCAAAGATAGGACTTCAGGT